GTCACTCCATCCTTTCTCATCACCCCTCCACCCTCCCTTCCTCAGTTTACAGGAGATATTACTTGGTACGGAAAAGAAAATACATAAAGCATCAGACTCTCCAATCTTTGCTGCTGAAGAATAGGTAGTAAGTGACGAGGGCGGAAGGTCTAGCTGCATTGCATATATTCAGACCTCTGGGACTAGGAGATGGCAGATACGTTTCTTTTTCAGCCCTTCTTGTGTCAGTAGTTTAGATGCAGCAATGGAATCTTCCATGCACAGGCCAGGGGAAAGCCTTTTGTTAAGGTCCTTTTGAGAAAGGGCTGATTTGAATTCCAGGGACCATCTCTGTCAGATTCTTTGTTGCCTCCTTTCCCCCCTGCCCCATAGGAAAAGCTGTCAAGAATCTTTAAATGGAAGGAGAGAGGCTGTTTTTATTTAAAAATCAAAAGCTTATTTTTATGTGTGGAAAGGGTATTTTTTAAAAAGAACTGTCTCTGTGAATAGCGGGCATGTCAGTGTCAAAATGTATGCTTTGATGTCTCCGATTACAAATGGAATGTCTCTGCACACAATCCCAGACCAATCTCAGTTCATTGATGTCCATTAGCTTATTTCATTGCTAAAATATGTTTGTTATCTGCAGCTTGGTATTAGATTAGGTCAGTATTTGCAGATTCACAGTTGGGAAGGTGAACACAGAGGTGTTATTATATGGCCCTCCATCCTCCTCTGTCCAGGGCAATCAGATTATTCTTGCCTCCCCAGTCAACTCCAGTATGGAGAACCATAGTCTACCATCATAAAATCATTTAATATGGGAGTTGCTAAAAGAACCAGCATCTTTTAATGCAGATAAATGTCTTCCCTGGACAGTGAAGGGTATTTCAATAAAGGTAGATGAAAAAGGACTGTGTAGTCACGTCCTTTTGACATAAAGATCAATTATTTGAATTAATGAAAAAAAGACAAATTGCAGATGATTCTACAAAAAATAATTATTATAGAAATATGTACAAATACCAACTAATCATTAAGAAGTTATTACCAAAAGAGGCCAAGTCAGACTGAATAGTACTTTGTGACTGAGACATGAATTGTTTGCATCAGAAAGTAAGTGTATGAGTGTCTCTTACCTAGTCCGTAGTATTGATTGACTTAAGACTTTTAAAAACTATAAAGAACACAAAAGAAATTTTCTTCTCCTGTGAAATTTTCTCAAATGCATTATTAGTAGGGCCTGTAGTAAGTACTATTAGAAAGGCCATTGGTCTTATTCTGCATTCTCTTTGTCTGCCAAAGTATGTAGCCTGAGATAGGGCGACCAAGACAGTCTCAATTTCAAATTTGCTGCCCAGTAATTCCCAGCAGTACATCCAAAGTCATTAGGCTATATATTTCTTTTTTTTTTTTTAGGCTATATATTTCTATATAATTTTTTTCTGATAATGAGGCATCGTGGTAGTGTATTGCTTGCTTCAATAGTCCCATTTGTTTTTTCTTTCTCTCTTGTTCTAGTAACCTTACAAATTGTTAGTATTGTAATCTGAAGGTTTAAATACATTGAAAATTTGAAAACTAAACTTGCTCCTATCAACTATAGGTGAGTCCTAATTGTCATATAAGTAACTACTTTAAAGATGTAGTGGATGCAAGGAGGCTTTTGTGATTTTGTTTTTGTTAGTGTTTTCTTTCCTTTTTTTTTTTTTTTTTTTTTTTTTTTTTCCAAGTTTTTCAAGTCAACGACATAATTATGGAATATCCTGCTTGCCCACAGGAAAGTTTGGGGCCGCCTCTGCATTCATATAAAAAGTGGCTTTTAATAAACCCATGTTCTCTGATGTTTACTTTGCTTGTTTATTTGATTATTTGTGTTTCTTTAATCCTTACACGTGTCTCTTCTCCTGCCCACCTGCTCTTCCTTCCTACCAAGATTTACTCTTCTTACTTCTCCATTTCCAATGTTTTTACTCCTGTTCTCATTCCTCTTGTTTTCTTACAAGAATAAAAACTCTCTGGGTTGAAAAAAAATATTTTAGTAGGCAGAGCTTCCAACTATTTTTGGCTTCTTACAGAAAATGGTTTATTTAAGAGACAGAGACAACAAAATTGGAGATGACATTAATGTGGACAAAGTGTCAAGGGTTGAAGTTCAGCTCCTTTTATTTGTAGTTCATTGTCTAAGGATTGGAGAGAAAGGGAATCTAAGGCCAAGTGCTTAACCTCACTTTTGATTTGGAGATAGTGAAGAAATGCTCTGAGTAATATGTTATCGGAAAATGTACTATGATGGATGTCTGGAGTGGATAATAAGATCTTTGTATTATCATTTTATTACCAGAATGAAAAGATCAACTGGATAGTAGTTATCACCAATTTTTTTATGTAGATAAAAATGGAAAGCAATAAAAGATTGCAAAATGTCAACCAGTGGCACTTAAGCCATGTTAGATTGCTTTGATCAGGCTGCCACTTGGCAGGCTACTTAAAAAG